TCACCTTCCCTTAGTTCCAGCATTAGGACCTTTATCTGCATGGATCATTTTCAACAGGCAGGGAAAGGGATGCAGGCAGATGAGATGCTGGTCTCCAAGGAACCCAACAGGGCTAACGGCAAAGCTGGGAATAGACCCAAGGTCTCCAACTGCTGAATCGAGCCCTGCTGCTGCTCTGACTCATCCCAGCAACTGTTTGCTAAACACTATGGAGCCTCTCAGAAGTTCTGTATGCTGTGTCAGCTATTCGGGTAGAAGAAGCAATTCCAAGTACTCTAAGGTCACTCCTCAGCCTTGGCATTGATCTTTTTAGGAAGGCCTGATGTCTGGAAGCCAGTGACAGCTACTTCTGGAATGTGCCTCCATTTACTGGGAGATTAACAGTCATAGCAAAGGTCTGTAATCCTGCTGCTGGCACAAGACGTAGGACATCTTCCTAACTCATTTGTTAGGTTCTGACAGCAAAACACAGGATTTGCTTTGCAGAAGAAGTCTGGCATGGGGATGAGCAGGGCTTTAAAACCCTTTCCTAAAGGAGTCTGCAGCCAAGGGATAACAACCTATTTTGACTCTCTTTTTGGCTCTAAACATTGGTTCTTGCTCTTTTCTCAAGTGACCAGTGGTGCAAAAAAGCTTCAGTGCATGACGTATGCAGTGGATGTGACACTGTTTGGAAGAGCCATATCCCTTACCTTTTTCAGGAGGAAACTGAAGCTAGAACTGTATCCATTTATCAATTCCTCATCCTGAAGGATTACTTAAGCACTCGGGAAGAAAGTTGAGACAGATGAGATATTTGAAGCAGAGACAGCACACTTTATGGCCTTTCTGGTAGTCTGCAGCTAAAGATTTGCACGGAATATGATGACTAATGTGTCCTGACCAAAACCAGACCTGGCCATTGCATTCCTTTCAAGAACTCCATGCAGAAAAAGAGAGTATCAAGCCTTAATATCTATTTTTGCAGACATCACACACTCTCTGGCTTGCCATCTGTGTGCAGCAGAAAAGCAGATAAAACAAGACAGTATCTGGCACAAAGAGCCAAGCAAAACATGCCCTGGTAATAATTTAGAACAAAGACTTTGGCTGATATTTTCCTCTCCAAAGGGGGAGCAGGCAAAAGGAAAGCATTAACTGCTCACATCATCCCCAAAGGTGGAGGAGGAACAAGCTCCTCAGATTTCAAAGCACCAGAATAGCACCTTCCCACCACCACCAAAGCAGGGTTAAATCGCAGTAATGCAATAAAATTCAAGCTGTAAATCTCACCTACTGTGACAGTGTTATATACAACCCACTCTTACAGAATCACAGAATGGTTTGGTTGGAAGAGACCTTAAAGCTCATCCAGTTCCAACCCCCTGCCATGGGCAGGGACACCTTCCACACCTCCACTGCTCCAAGCCCCGTCCAACCTGGCCACAGCTTCTCTGGGCACCCTGTGCCAGCGCCTCAGCACCCTCACAGAGAAGAAATTCTGACTTATCTCCAACCCGAACTTCCCCTGTTTCAGTCTGGACCCATCACCCCTTGTCCTATTGCTCCAGTCCCTATGAACAGTCCCTCTCCAGCAGCCTTGTAGCCCCCTTCAGATACTGGAAGGCTGCTCTGATGTCCCCACTCAGCTTCTCTTCTCCAGGCTGAACAGCCCCAGCTTTCTCAGCCTGTCTTTGTATGGGAGGTGCTCCAGTCCCTGAGCATCCTCGTGGCCTCCTCTGGACAGGATTTGTATGGATAAAGTACGGGAAATAGATTTGACATAGTGGGAATTTCATTTTACAGAAAGGACTTTCCTAAGGGAATAAAACTTGTTCCGGAAGTTTTCCTCTAGACTCCCCAAGCAGGCATTTGAGCACACACATTTCCCAGCACATGGGGCGATGTAAGGAAGGAGACCTTCCAACAGGTCCCATTAAAATGGCCACGTTCCCAAGCACCAAACCGATCCCATCCCCATACCTGTGACGCGAGTCTCCTCATGGCTTCCTCCTGGCGCCGGCGCATCTCGGGGGTCCCGGGGCAGCTCCCGCTGGTGATGGACGAGTGGGCAGAGGGTGGCTGGGTCAAGGGCAGCTCTCGGTTTGCATCCACATCTGTCCCAAGGAAAGAGGTGATGAATGGCTGCAGGGCAAGCCCGACCCACAGCTTCCCTATTCCAGCCCAGGCTGGTTTCCATGCATGGAAGTTATTTAAAGTTCTTTCCATAAACAGGATTTCAGGCAGCAGAAGACTGTGACACCGTCCAGAGGCTCCCTAAGAAACTTCCCCTGAAAGCAGCCCCTTCGGGAAGGACCGCTAAGATAAAGTGTGGAGCTCATCTTATTCATCTTCTCCAGTGTAATTTCATTGACTTTAATTACAGTAACTGAGTTGTGTGCTCTCAAAGGTATGCTCCGTCTTCTCTAGGTTTGCTATGGGTTAGTGCAGTGCTCTCCCTCTCTGCAGCTCTGCCAACACATTCTCAACAAGTGATGGTTAATTTGGTTCCAAGTCCTTCAGTGGAGACAGCCAATTTTTCTGAATGATGTGTCTATTTTCTAACCTAAATAACTGGAGAGCCACAGCTCACACATCCATCTGAAGCCCATTAATGTACTCAGAGGGACAGAAGCAGGAGTAGCACCAGGATCTGGAAAAGGCTTGCAAGCCCATGAATTATACTGGCATCACCTCTGCCAAGTTTAACAGCTTTCTATTGCATTTTAGCTGTTGCTTTTTGCCTGGCAAAGCAGTAGCTGGCTTTACCAGCAGATTGCTACAACAGGCCATTCACCTGGCCTTTGTGGGTCACTCAAAACCACTCAAAACAATAGTTTTCAATGACAGCACTCGGTGATGTCTAATTACTGAGTCCTCCCAAGTGCAGCCTGCACTAGCAAAGGATTTTCCTGAATGGATCGCTGCAATGCATTCCTGAGCTTGACTTGAAATCGTAATGCAAACAACGACCCATTTAATGGCAAACAGAGGAGGATGACTACTGCCTACATAATTAAACCCTGAAGGTGTGAGTAATGAGGCACATTCTAGTTTCTGAGCATGCAACACCACCTTTACCTATATTTCTAAGACAAGAAGTAAGAGGCTGTATTTATGCCAGTTTACTAATGCTGACAGCACAAGTGCTGAAATAGTCAGGTCTCCTGATGAAGCATTTACTATTAAACATAGATTTCACTAAGCATAATAGATGAAGAAAAGAATCAAAGGGACTTGTAGTACAATTGCTATCTTCTACAGCTAGACTGAGACTTGTGATCTCTTTAGGAAATAAAACCAAATTAGATGACTGATTCTGAAGGTCTCCAACCCAATAACTAACACTGAGGAATCATTCAGCTTTCAACTTCACAGGGAAACCAGAGGGTGAACTGAGCAACCGTGTGTTAACCATGACCAAGGATCTTTGTCCCTTGTGCATGAAAGATGCATGGCACCTTCTCTGAAACAGCCCAGAACCAGTTAAGTACAGCTGTCTCTTTAATCTCCGCAATCCCTCGGAGCAGACTGAGATGTGCAGTTGGTGCACTGCAGAGCTGCAGTTAAAATACAGAAACAAGCCCTGCTTTTCACTGTGCACTGGTCATTTAGCTCTGACAAGTGACATTATTCAGCACACCGACATTTGGTGACATTTCAGATACTTCAACGTGGCTAAGACTGCTTCATTCCAGTAAGCAGATTTCACTGCAGCTTCCCTGAGATACAGTGACCTACATCCTTAGAGACACCTTTAGGTACCTAACCCAGTATCTTCAATCCTGTCTTACTCACTTACTGAGAGCTGAGTGATTTCCAAACGTTGTCATCTCCACCCGCAAACAGGTCAGGGCAGAGTGATGTGAACTGATGGGACCACAGGAGGTGTGGCAAGCCTTGGTGAGGAGCCTGCATGGGCTTGCAACCCAGCCTCAGCATTTATACCATGATAAACTGACCTAAGCACTATGGGTGGGAGAATGCACTGGCATGGATTTGTGACAACGGAATATGGGCAATTAAAATTGGAATCTTCCCAAGAGAAAAACTCTGATGTTCCTAAGTCAGAGAAATAAAGAGACAGACCACTGTGACTTGAAACTGGAATAGAAGCAGAATAAATGCTGCCGATGGGTGCTCCCTCTGCTTGGCAACAAGGACCAAGCTGATTCCTTGGGCCTGAAGAAACGGGATCTATTCAACCAACAGCCATTCCAAACCTATGGAAAAGCTCTCTGATTCTGGAAAGCCTGCGGCCTGCTGCACTTACGCTTCGGGGAGGCATGGGGGCTATCAGAAGCGATCTGCCTCATCCGTGTGCCGTGGCAGCTGAGCGCCACCAGCCTGGAGATGATGGCGGTTTTCCCAAAGCCGATATTCCCCACGATGACGACGCCTCGGTTGACGCTGGCGTTTGAGCTCTGGAGCTGGGCATCTATCTCATGGAACACCCAGTCCCGGCCAACAAAGACGGACTCGGTGGTGATGCTGGGCACCTCGAAGAGCAGTGGCTTCAGAGAGATGTCGGGAGGTCTGTAGGGTGCAAAGCGCACTGTAACGAGAAACACAGGGAAAGAACATAACTATCACTGCTGGCACTAAGAAGATAGCTCAGGAATTGCAGTTTCATCTTCCTCAGGAATCTATTAATGAAAAGATTAAAGGTGAAAAGAACAAAATCTTGTTTATGACCCACAACTTTGTTTGTAAAAGCATCTGGTTCATTCACAGCATTTGCCACCGAAGAGAAGGGGTTTATAGCAGGAGAAATGACATTTCTGGCTTAAAGTCACCATAATCCAAGGCCCTGCCACAGGCAGCAGGGTTCACTGCCCAAAGCACCCTGTGAGAGAGTGTTGTATGCCTGTTTAATAGATGTATAGATGAAAAGGCTCCTTAAGGGGAGACCTTAGAGCAGCTCCAGTGCCTGAAGGGGCTACAGGAAACCTGGGGAGGGGCTTGGGACAAGGGATGTAGGGACAGGCCAAGGGGAATGGCTTTAACCTGCCAGAGGGGAGACTGAGATGAGCTCTTAGGCAGAAGCTCTTCCCTGGGAGGGTGCTGAGGCGCTGGCACAGGGTGCCCAGAGAAGCTGCGGCTGCCCCATCCCTGGCAGCGTTCAAGGCCAGGGTGGACACAGGGGCTTGGAGCAAGCTGCTCTAGTGGAAGGGGTCCCTGCCTGTGGCAGGGGTTGGAGCTGGGTGAGCTTTAAGGCCCCTTCCAACCCATTCCGTGATAACAAAATTGTACAACAAAACCCAAACCAGTCTCGAAACGTTTTTGGGAACAGCTGGGGGTGGAGGGAGAGGGTATCTGCCATTCCTTCCATGTGGCACAAGCTATCTTGGGAATGCACACGCAAAAACTGTAACAACTGTGCTCAGATCGGGTGCAAAGATGCTATTACAAAGATCAACTCATATGGCGTGTTCCGATTAAGAGATCCTTAATTGGGAGATGATCTGCATAAATCTATTAAAACCACTTGGTGATGGAAGCACTTCGTGCTGGCAGAGACAGTTGCTGGATCATCCCACTTCACCACCAAAATGGTTTGTTAATTAAAGCCTTGCAGAAGGTGGCCACAACGACAGCAGGTGATTCCCACTCAGGGGGAGGTTTGTCACACTGCAGACTTCCACTTCTAGAATGCAACTCCTTCAAGGCAGGGCTGACGTGGATGGAGGGACACGATGTCAGCCCTGGATCTTCCAGCCGCAGTCCAAGTGTTGCACCTGATATTCAACACGTGGATTTGAGCTGATGGGGTGAGCTGGGGAACATTTGAGCTGTGGAACACAGAAGCTGAGTTCAGCTGGGGCTGAGATCAAACGGCATGCTGGGAATGAAAACCCTCAGACAAAGCATAGATGTCTTCAGAGCACATTTTAAAAGCAATCCTAGGAAGCCCCAGGGGAGCAGCTCCCTGAGCTGCGTCCCAGAGTGGGTGCCAGGATGAGCTCCCAGCACGCTCCTCCTGGACCTTCCAGGCACCCAGTTCCAACCCCTAAGACCTCATCTCAGTCTCCCCTCTGGCAGGTGAAACCCATTCCCAACCTGGCCTTGGACACTTAAATCTGGCACAGACCTGACGAGGGAGCTGATCCATTACAGCAGAGCTGATAGAGGGGCTGGGAGTTAATGTTACATCAGGTAAGCCTAAGGAAAATAGCTTGTATTTAAATGTTAGGTATTTTGAATGTCCTTTCTTGATACAGAAACTGCTGCAGACAGGAGATGTATTTCTATTCCCACTTGAAAATGATGAATGTGATTTAAATGTATTGAGGGTGGAGAAGGCTTTTGAATCACGAGCTCCCAGGCAGCTTGATTTCCTTTGCTAGGCTCTGCCACGTGGGATGTGCTGGCATGGGAAGACCCTGGAGAAGCAACATCACTGATGGTGGGAGGGGATGAGGCAGGGGGGGCATGTGTGCCCATGTGCCCATCACAACTCCTGTCCCTGCACCAGCCTGGCTCTCAGCAACAGCAGGACTGATGGGCTTCCCACCAGAGGATGGCATATTGCACAAGCAATAGCACACGGACGTGGCCGAGGGAACCATCTGGAGTGGTCCGACTGATGTAAATTGAATGTTCCAGCAGTGCATTTGGCAAGGGGCGTTTTGTGTTTGCATTATACCACCAATACTATAGATAGAAAATTACATCACCAAAACACCCAGAATTAATCAAAAACTCCATTTGGAAAGCATCAAGCCAAGAGCTGTGCTCGACAAGCTACGGCTTTACTGTACTTCTGTGTGTACTCACATGCTATGGCGTGTTAGTGAGTTAAAATGTCCAGTAACGCTCTTCTGAAAGCCAGAAGTCTAACAGGTACCAAATGGCCTCAGGGGCTAATGCAGAGGCAAGAGTGATTACATCCAAAAGCAATGGGATCTAATAAGCTCCTGCTTAACATGGTGGAGACCTGGGCTAAAGCCCTGGTTTCTTTTCAGAGCTGCAGATGGCTTTGAAGCTGTGTGATCAAAACACACCGAACAGAGCATATCCTAAAGACTGGTCTTGCTCTGAGTGGATGTGAACGTACACGTCCTGGCTGTCACCCAGGAATAGCCTATTCTGTCCTAAAAAAGGCTCAGTGAAACCCTGAGAAGGGACATACCCACTTACCCACCTATCCCCAGCCTTCTTGAGCCTCTAGACCTTCCACTTGACCAAAGCCACTTGACCATAGCCAAGCAAACCTCTCCCGGCACCAATGCTGACATTTGCTTTTTGCAGTTAAAACCCCACGATGGCAATACTCAGGGTGCTCTAACACCAATAATAACTTGGTTGCCATCTGGCTCCTGCTCCACCACGGTACATCCCAGCCACCGTCCTGCCCTTCGGGGTACAGCAACTCTGAACAGCTTCAAATCCCGCTGGCTGAAAACAGCAAGGGCAGAAACTGCCTTCACTATCCTATTAAAAACCTGCCACTGGGATGAGAACCTGTCGTGCTCAGAGCTGTTGGGATTGCCCAATTACTCCCCTGGATAAAACAACTGCTGTGACAAGAACTAGGAGGGATGGTTTCCCATTTAGTTCCTCTGCACTGGGATTCTTGAACCCTGGGAACAAAGCACTGGGCTGTGATGCATCCCCCTTGATAGAGAGCCAGGAACTGCTTTGCTATTTCAGTGCCAAGAGGGTATTAAAGGTAAACCCAAGTTTAGGATTTCCAGTTGCAACAAAGAGCTGGTGATTAGAACAGCCCAGATCAATGCAATTTCACAGTAATATCTGGAACATGTAGTATTTTGGGGGAACACCCCCCTTATATACTCAATGAAGGGAAGATATTTCCAAGCAGTGGTGGTTTGGTTTCTTCACAGCCTCTCCTTTTAAAAATAGCACAGAACCTCAACTGGGATCCGAAGCAAATCCCCCCCAGTTGAAGCACTGCTGCTGTTCTCATGCAACCTTCACAAAAAGGGGGAAACCAGACAAAAGCAAACAAAAAAAAGAAAGCAGAGATGTGGTGTTCCATGGTTTTACAAAGTGTGTCTGGAAAACAATTTGATTCTGTTCCTACAATAAAGTTTAATGTTTTGGATGCAATTACTGTAAATTACGAAGCCTTGGCAAGCTGCTCCCTTGGAACATATGGAAATCTTGTCTGTCAAACTTTGCTTTCTTCTCTTCCTGCCTGTTAATCCATTTTTATAACTGCCTCACCAGCCAATATGATTTCATTTTGGACTGTGATCCAGTCATGCATTTGGGAGAAATCCCAACCTGGCTGGAACAGGTCGTGCTTGTGGTGCTGAGTGAAAACCCACCTTGTACCCTCCAAGATCCTCCTGGTACCTCTTCTGAGCTGTTGATCTCCATTGATGGGGTCCCCTCTCAGTCTGCTCTTCTCTAACCAGGCCCAGCTCCAGCAATCTCTGCTCCAACCCCCTGAGCATCCTTGTGGCCTCCACTGGACCCTCTCCAGTAGCTCCTTGTCTTTCTTGTGCTGAGGAGCCCAGCACTGGACACAGGACTCCACATGTGGCCTCACAAGGGTCAAGTAGAGGGGGAGGAATCACATCCCTCAACCTGCTGCTACGCTCCTGATGCACCCCAGGGCACTCTTGTCCCTCCTGGCCACATGGGCACATTGCCCATTCATAGTCAACTCATCACCCCCCTAACACTCCCAGGCCCTCCTCAGCTGAACTGCTCTCTAGTAGGTCACCTGCAACCTGTGCTGGTACTTGAGCTCCTTCCTCCCCAGGGACAGGACCCTATGCCTGCCCTTGTTGAACCTCATTAGGTTTCTCTCCACCCAGTTCTCCAGCTTCAGGCGTTATCAGTCACTGCCCACCTTCACGAGGACATGGGTGAAGCGGCTGCAGTACAAAGTCCTAGCCCAGAGACCCCCCCATGAACACGAGCCCCCGCATGCTCCTACCTCGCAGGTCCTGCTGTGCGCGGGCACCGGCCATGCTCTGCCGCGGCATCCGCAGGGAGGTCCGCAGGGGAGTGTGCCTCTGCTCATCCAGGTAAGCGAGATCTTCTAAGTGAGCTGAGCTGGTGGCTGCCATGAGAGAGCAAAGAACCACGTCACCCCTGGCTTCTGGATCTCAGGCTCTGCTATTGCAGTTCTCAATTCTGAAGTACACACAGTTGTAACCACAGGGAGTCAATACAGCAGAAATGAACCAAGCCTAACGCCCCAGAAAGGAACAAAAAGGTGTTTTGGTAACTTCTGGTGCCCCACTGGTATTTGCTCTGGTTTGGTCTCCTCTTGATGTGAACGAACTAAAGAGACCCATGGAAAATGGAGACACAGAATCTTTTATATCTGCTATAAGGATGGTGGAGAGGGACTCTTCATCAGGGACTGGAGGGACAGGACAAAGGGTGATGGGTTCAAACTGAAAAAGGGAAAATTCAGGTTAGATCTAAGGCAGAAGTTCTTCCCTGTGAGGGTGCTGAGGCGCTGGCACAGGGTGCCCAGAGAAGCTGTGGCTGCCCCATCCCTGGCAGTGCTCAAGGCCAGCTTGGACACAGGGGCTTGGAGCAAGCTGCTCAAGTGGAAGATGCCCCTGCCCATGGCAGGGGTTGGAGCTGGGTGAGATTTAAGGTCCCTCTGAACCCAAACAGTGCCACGACTCCATGATCTAAGTTTTCCCAATCACAAAGTCAATGGCATGGACGCAAAGCTTGACAGTTCACATTCCTACTACATGCTGCGGGGCAGAGCTCCAAGCAGTGATCCCCATGGCAGATACAGGAAATGAGCCTGAATTTGAAGGTACTTCTCTCCAAATCCCATTGGCCTCAAGCACCCTTTTCAGCCAAATAATGTACAGAATGTTGGAAATGGAGGAATGAAAGCTCCACTGCTTGAAATGATCTTCCCAATTATCAACAGCAAATGTCAAAATAGTCTGCACATCACCAGCTCTGGTCTCGCTCTGATAACCAGTTCCAAACCTCACATTAACCATTCACCAATGGAAATCACGCTGCTCAGTGCTCTGCATCTGATCCTGCTTCTTTAGCTTTAGTTTTTGTTCTATGACCGTAACAAGATGATTATTTTAAATGGAACTGATCCATTAAATAACTTCTTCAAAGACTTCCTGTCAAGGCGGCATTGATTCCTCACTGTGAAATGGGTAAGCTCTTTGATACAGCTCTCTAGAGTAGCTCATGGCACTGGACTCTGAATCCTTCCTCCCTGCCACCCAACATGAGATGGAACAACCACCAAAACGGA